AGGCTACGTAAGCTCTTAGCAGTTGATGAAAATGAGTATTTTACCCACCTACAGTTGAAAGAAGAAGCACTATAGGAGGGGAGGAAAAAAAAGGCAAGAATGAGACTTATTTACAGAGAAGAAAGACTTTATTTTTATGGCTCCAAAATGGAATCAACAGTTGAGAAAGTGAAATTCAGATCCACAAACATACATACGCACACACACACTCAAATCTGAAGTGGGTGGATCACAAATGATTAAGGAATGATAATTTACAGTAAATTGAGGCCCCACAGTGGGTCGCCACAACTCTTCATCTTTGACTGTTACCCCCACCCCCTTGGCGCTCTGGTGTTCTGTGCTCACCCCTACTTTAGAATGGAGTACTAAGTGTCATTCTTAATTGGCCTTTTGGTATTAACAGCCAGCTTGCCCTTGACTGGAAACACAGCCCTACTGTCTGCTTGGTGGTCTCCCCTGCTGAGGGCCAGGGCTAGTTCCCTGAGCTCTGCTGCCTGCTTCCTGCCTGGGATCCCGATCCTAGGACCTCATTACCTGGACTTCTGCACCATGTCCTGACCCTGGTCTGCTGTGACCCTCAACTTTCAGACTATTTCTGTGATTGCCCCACCAACTCGTTTGTTCCCCAGCCATCCTTGGCTAACCAGAGTCTGAGCCCTGGTTTCTGTCCAGGGTAGTAGGAAGATTTTATTATCAATAACAAATGTATTATCACTGGTAGGATGGGCTGCAAAGCACTTAGGCTCCCAACCTTGTCTCTGCTGTAAAATGAGACCAAGACTGCTGTCCTGCAACCTTGTAAGGCACTTGTGATACCCAGAGGTTTCGTGTGTGAAAAATAACCTGGCAAATTGTAAAGAACTGCGCAAATACAAGGTTGTCTTGTCATGATTGCCATCGGCACCAAGTAACCTGCAGACAAACCACGAAGGTACACCTTCCCACAGAGAGTTCATTAACTTTCCTTGGGCACTTGGATCGAGTCCATGGTATAAATAGCGTCAAGTGGAACTGGGATTAGGCCTTCGCGCTCGTTTTCGGGTAAAGGAAGCTGCTTTCTCTCATTGGGGGGGAGGAATACCAGGGTCAGCTAGGGACTGGCAGGGGGGGTGGGGCGAGCGCCCAGGAAGTCTCCTTCGCCCTGGTCATGGTGTCCATGGCGACAGGATCAACTTCCGCCCTACTCCTCCTTCCCCTGGCAGCAAGGTGAGCCATGGCAACCGCAGCGCGTCCCGGGCCTACGTCCTGACATCCCCGAGGTGTCTTGGAAATGTACAGCCAGCGCTTTGGCATCGTGCCCCGGGAGTTTAAGGGCCCCACTCCCAAGGTGGTGCTGCTGGTAAGCGCTGCGCCGTGCGCGCTGCTGCGTCCTCCAGCCCCGCAGGCTGGAACCCCACCTGTTTGAACCCTCACTCCAGCCTAGCGGGTGTGGTGAGGGTGCACCGGCCGGGACACTTTAAGGGAAGCGGGGGCCTGATGGCATGTGTTGTGTTTTGAAAGAAGGAAAGATAACGGGAAAGCTGATCTTTCCTCCCGTTTTTCCCCTCCTCGCACCCCTGAGAAAAATCTTCCGGCTGCCAGCCCCAGTATTTAGATTGTGTATTTGGAGAATCAGTACTCATTTCCAAAGACATCGAAGGAGGTTTGCCCCTTGGGGTGTCCACTGTGGAAAGGCACAGCGGAGGCCGCAGCGTGTTGGATGGGAGGCGGAGATCTGGTCGTGGGGTCTCCGGAGGATTCCGCACCCAGTTGACTGGGGAAAGGGGGCTGGGCTGTGAAGGGTTGTGAGCAATTACAGAACTTTTCCGGTGCCACTTCACTCAACTGTGGCGGTTGCTGGACCAAAATGGCCCCCAAGGCCTGGAAATAGAACTGTTGATTGCTTCTTAGCTTGGAGTGGGGGTGCTTGCTGCAGAATTTAAACCCCAATACAGATTATATACAAATAGGGGGAACTGGTCCACGCACCAGGATTCTTGTATTCCTTCAAAGCTGTTTAGACAGTGCTGTGTACACAGCCCAGTGGGAGACAACGGCAAATAAAAAGGACCCCAGGCGCTGTACCTGACGCTTGCTTTCAAGGCGTTCACAATCCAAGGGCAGAAATGTGCTCAGACATTGAAGGTTGTGGTGGTGGTGTTGTGTATTATCTGTCTGAACTGACCCATGGATGACCCTCCAGCAGGTTTTCAGAGGCTGTAAAGTGCACAGGAAGAGATTGCCCAGTTCTCCCACAGAGCAGCTAGCTCATTCGAACCCCTTACCTTTGCACTGGCAGCACAATTCCTTAGTACTAAGCCACCAGAGCTCCCTGAGTTAAGTTCTGTATCCAAACATGGAGTTCAGGTTGTCTGAGGAGATATAAACCAACTAACCAAGTTCATTCCTGTTAGCTTCTTGCTCATGGTAACCTCACGTGATTCATGGGGTTTTCTTGGTTTTAAACAGAAGCTCAAATAGGCCTTCCTTCCATGACACAGCCACCAACCCCCAGGTTAATAGTTGAGCACAAACTGTACCACCCGGGGTAGGTCACCCTCACAGTAGATGGTGATAGGCTATATTGTCCAGGATGCTATGTTGGAATTTGACACACCACTGTCAACGATTTCAGTATCACAGCAACCCCAAGTAATCACAGTAGAACAAACTTGACAGACAAGTGCTTCACCATTTAGAACAACGTGCTGTCCAAACACAATAGCAATCAATAGCCAACCAACTTAAATACAAAAGCCCGCCCACCAGGACAGAACTAGGTTCAGATCTTTTGTTTATCTGGTTACTATGAGTCGTTGAGTCGTTCTCAATGGCACCTAACAACAACAACAATATTGTCCAGTATGCCATTTTGGGAAGAAAGACCAGGTATAATCAAGGGGAAAATGATAAAACACCCTTGATTGCACTTTGTATTGCACATAGAGACAATCTCCACAGACTTGCTCCCTCTTCTTTAGGTCCACAGACTTTAGGATCTACAGCTGCAAAACAGTAGACCAGATGCTTCTACAGAATGAGGAATTCAGTTATTACTTACATATAGACTCATAAGGGATAGGAACTGATTCACTTTAAGTTTTGTATTAAAACAGAGTTCGGGTGCTGGATCAGTGTAAAAACAGTGTGAGTATAGATAGGGACATCATTACCTATGAACTCTACAAGGGGGAAGGAAATTCCCATTCAGCATCTACAGCTGTCCAAGCCCAATTCTTTTGATTTTTGTTTCCCCTCCCCTCTGCTCCAAACTTTTTCTATCAATCTTGACACCAGTCATCCCTCCCAAGGTGCTCTGTATCCCTGATGGTTTTGATAATTTATTGCAGTGGCCACACAGAGCTCACAGATAAATAATAAGTGACCTCTCAGGATCAGGACAATCTCTCCAACTATGCCCAAAGACAAGCCTCTCCCTCTAGCCCTCAGCTGCTCCAGCTTGACCTATGCCCTGCATATTTGCCTCCAGTATAAGTGCCAGTGAAAGATTAAAATTAAAATGGCCCCTATAGTTCCCAGCTGAATTAAACTCAAGTTTCTATAGTTCTCAGCTAAGTTAAACTCAGGAATTTTTCCATTGTCCCGAGTAAAGCCCCACACCCAGTGTTCCAGGAAGAAAAGTCTGATCTCAGGGCAATGGTATTCCGAGAATTGGCCGACCAACCGCAGGGGTAGAGCAAACAAGCAGATGTTTCTCGACTGATAACCCAGGTGCCTTTGTTTCCCGACTGATAACCCATGTGTCTTGTGCTTTTCCACTGCCCTAGGGCTTGAACTCATTGTATGCTTAAGAATTTGTGAAACCACCCTATAGTTAATGTTCCAAGAAATGGCTAACTACAAAGGTTGGGCAAATATGCTGATGACTTAAGATCTGTCTAACTGTGCAAGAATAAGATATTGTGAAAATATGCTGTGTAATCCATAAGTGAAGCCGAACCAATGAATTCAAACTGTGCTTTTATCACCCAATGAGAAGCTGATACCCTGTTGTATCCCCCTAGAGTGTATAAAAAGAGCAAAAATTGTCTGCTCGGGGTCGACTCCTCTGTCTCCTGCGAGAGATACGTGTCGGCCCGGAGCTCCGCAATAAACCTCTTGCTATTGCATCAAGCCGGTGTCTCGGAGTCTTGGGTCTTCGCCATCCACTCGGGACCAGACCACCTGTTCTGGGAGTCTTTCACCAGAAAGTACCCCTTTTGTACCAACAACCCTAGGCCCAAAGTTGTTGGGTTCTGGCACCATGAGTTGGCAAACCTAGCTCCCTGGAAAGTGCCTGAAGACACCATCTCTGACAGGAATCTTCCTACCAGAAGACACTCAGTTGTCTTATTCTATAGGCTGGAAGCTCTATCTGGTCCACTCATTCTGTTGCTGCTGTTTTGCCATCACTCTGTTGCTTCTCTCTCATCACAATTATAGATCTCTGTCTCCTGAGAGGAGGAATTTTTATTGTTAGGGATCTCAAGATATGCTCAACTCCTTAACTCTCTGGACAGCGATGAGATCTCCTTTTCCACCTCTGACATGACTCTTTTGAAGCCTAGCAAGACAAGATGGCAAAAGTGACCTATTCCCACATTAACATTTCAAGCACCTAATTTGCATGGTCTTGCCCCAACGGATGCTTTGTAACTTACATCACTAGCAAGCTATCCAGCAAGCTGGCCACATCCCCTCACATTTGTATTTTCCTACTAAGTCTTGTAATTCAGTGGGAGTTATAAAGCTCATAGCTGAAAGAGCCAAATCCAGCCATTCACAGCACTGCAATCACAGAATAGGCTCCAGTTCTTGTGTTAAGAATGCAAGGGGATGGGGGGGGGAGGAAATCACCACCAAACCAGAGGAGCAGGCCTACTGAATACTTGGATGATGGAAAAGAAGGTTAAGTTGGCACATCTGCCCCTTCTTAGGAATCTGACTGTGATAAGAAGTGTGGCTGTTAGAGATTGCAGAATAGGGGAAGAGAGAAGAATTAAGAGAATTAAGAATTAAGAGATGATTTTTGGACTCTTAAGTCATTGTTCCAGGACAGTGTGATTTAAAAACATCATGTATGAAGTAATAGAGAAGCAAAAGGAGCAGCCCAAGGGCCTCCTGGGAACTGGGCTATTTCATCTAGAAGATAGTCTTGTCAGAGGAACATTCATTGTGCTCATTTGTGGAGATAAGAAAACCAAGACTCAGAAAGATTAAGTGACTTGCCCAGGGTCATACGGTTATTGAAGTGTAGGCCAAATTCAAAGCCAGATTGTAAGAAGTTGTTCATTCAGATATTAAAAACTATAAATCCTGGAAACTGTATTTGAAATGTTACATTAACAAGTCTTCAGTGATTTTGAAAATGCAGGTTTTTCCCAAATGTTGCTGTTGCTGGGTGCTGTCGGATTGGAACCTATTCAGAGCTGATCCTCCATTGGGGTTTCAGAGACAATAAATTGCATGGGAGGAGATTTCCCCTCTTTCTTCCAAGGAGCAGCTGGTGGATTTGAACCACACACCTTTGGGATCACAACACAGCTTCTTACCACTATATATCCACTAAACCAATACTTCACAATTACTTTTGAGTACTTGAAATTGCCTAGAATCACATGTTGAAGTGATAGTATTTTGGATAAACACCAATAACAGAAAACTAACCAGTGAACTCAAAACAGCCAAACTTTGCATTAATTATGACTCACTGTGGCCCCGCAGGATGAAGGAGACCTGCCTGGTAGAGTTTCCTAACTGGGTCCTGCCTCGTTATATCCAACAGTTCTGTTGAGAGAAGGGGCAAGGATTAAATGAAGATGCAGAGAGGCTACCGCTGATGGCGAATAGCAAAATTTTATTTTTTAGACAAAGCCTATATAGGTTTTAGTAGCACGTCAGCTATAACAATCGCATTATCTCATTCAGTCCCAAGATGTTGACCATCTGGGCAAACATTAACTCTTACAGACCTCAGCACAATACAAAGATGTTTTCCAGAATACCTTATTGTGTGCTTTACGGAAGAAATGGTTTCGGTTGATAAGGACACTACATTCCTTAAGGCTTAAGACATTTGGTCATTCTTATTTTTTAACATCCTACTTTCTTGAATTGTTTACTGCCAAGCAGATACTCTAGCCAAGATGGAGTTAGTCTTGCTGGTCTTGTGGTACAGGGCTCATCTTGCTTTACAAGTTAGCCAGGCCCTGACAGTTTCTGAGGATGCAATCTGTACAGAAGCAGAAGGTCATATCGTTCTCGTGCAGAGCACCTGGTGTATGCAAACCATTAACTGAGACAGCTCTGCTTCCCGTGTTCCTTGGGCCTTCAGCTTCTATTTCCTGATTTCTTGGCCTC